TGTGTGTGTGTGTGTGTGTGTGTGTGTGTGTGTGTGTGTGTGTGTGTCTGGATTATCTGCTGCCATCTAGTGACAGGTTTTCATTCCCCGCCAGATTAGAGCTTCCTGGTTCACCCACTCAAAGAGGATCAATTAGTTTGCTAGAATAAGTGAGCAATTACTTTTGCAAGTTAATCGGCACTGCAAGACTTTTCTTTTTTATAAGAACTTGCAAACAGAGAAAGAAAAGATTTTCAGAGTCTTCTCATTTATGGTGAATAAAACAAAAATATGGGGCAGATGATCAGTTCCTCCTTCCAGTTCATTTTTCACATAACAGGCAGGGAAGCCATCAAATGTCTACATCCGAAACCCTTTTGCAAGGTGAACATAACTGTAATAACTCTTTATTTCCTTCCTAATTATTCACATCTGTGCGAGCCAGGACTATACAGGTAGTCCTCAACTTAAAAACAGTTCAAAGTTACAACAGCAGTGAAAAAAATCTTTCACACTTATGACTTTTGCAGCATCCTCACACTCAGGTGATCAAAATCCAGACGTCATCTCATGGGAAATAGTGATTAGAAAAATACATATCAACATCAAAATTTTTAGCAAAGGGTCCTTCCTCTGCCCGGTTGCTGGGTGGGCGTGGCCATGATGGGCATGGCCTACTCAGCCTCCTGCATCACCTTTTTGCTCCCCCCGGGCTCCGGAGGCTTTCCTTGAGCCTCCGGGAGGGTGGAAACTGCCTCCCCAGGCTCCGGAGGCTCTCTGGAAGCTGGAAACGGGCCCATTTCCGGCCTTCCCGAACTTCCGGGAGGCCCGTTTTTCACTCTCCCCAAGCCTCCGTGGTGGCCCTGCACTTACCTGCATCCAAAACGGGCCACCTGGGGACTCCGGGGAGGGGAGGGGCAGGGTGGGCGGGGCCAGCCAGGAGTGGGATTTGGGGGTGGTCTCCAAACTGCACAGAAAATTTGCAAGGGGCTCTCTTGAACCTCAGCGAACCCTCAGCAACGTATCCCTGCATCTATCTGTGTGTATCACACACGCACTCCCACTAAATTCCTGTGAAGGGATGTGGTCCGATACGGCCTTATTTAATACTGTACTGTAACTTATCATATTTATGAAGAAAAAAATCATAGAATCATAAAATAACAGAGTCAGAAAGGACCTTGGAGGTCATCTAGTCCAACCCCCTGCTCGAGCAGGAGAGCCTACACCTAGGGTCGCCTCCTGATGCAGGACTTTGATCCTGAAATTTGCCTGCCTGCCTTGGCACACAGAGAGAAAAGAAAAAAACCTAGATGGTGTTTCTTGGATCTGATCTGCAAGTTCGAACCAACGATAGAAACAAACTTTTTGAGCCAAAAAAATTATCCCCCATTGGGCCCTCGTTAAAAGAGTTATAAAGAAGGGAGGGAAAGGAAGATAATTATTCCATAAGGATTCCGGGAGGCCCGTTTTTCACCCTCCCCGAGTCTCCATGCATGCCCTACACTTACCTGCATCCAAAACGGATCACCTGGGGACTCCTGGGAGAGGAGGGGAGATGCAGGCAGGGACAACCAGGCGTGGGATTTGAAATTGCACAGAATCTTAGCGGGGGGCCTCTCCAGAACCCCTGCGAACCCCCAGCAGCCCAGTCCTGCCAAACGAGGAGGCTAGCCCTGGTTTTGTGCCATGCCTGATGTCTTTTCCATCATTGTATCTTGTCCTTTTTTTTTATACGGTGGAGTGTGCTGGTCTCTGGAAAGTATTTCTCTAGTAAAGGAACCTTGGAAATGGTACGGAAATCCAGCACAAAAAGACAATTTAGCTTTTCGACTTGATTGAATTAGAAACTTAATGAGGTTTTTTTCCTTTTCTTTTTCTTTTTGGTATTCTTTTTTTTTTTTCCTCCTCCTTTTTCTTTCTTAAGATTTGTGAAAGCACCGGTGAATCTCTAGTCTCCTGCGAAGGTGAATGCTACAGGGTCTTCCATACAGAATGCCTCGGATTGAGCTCACAGTCTGATGGGAAATTTATCTGCCTGGAGTGCAAAAATGGTAAATGGGTGGAAATATTATTATTATTATTATTATTATTATTATTATTATTATTATTATTATTATTATTATTATTATTATTAT